TGAGAAACATTGTTTCCTATTATAAACGATGCTCCCAAACTGCTGATACAAGGAGCTACCCAGACCTGATCCCTAAGGTGCACCAGGTGAGGCTCAAGAAGCTTGGGGGACCTGGCTGCGGGTGGGGTGGTAACATGTCTGTGGTTGTAGGAAGGAGACAAGTGCAGGCCAGGAATAGAAAGAGAACCTGATCCAGAGCCCAAAGAAGTCTGGAAAAGGAAGGAAACAAACCAGCATCTCTCCTGAAAGCAGGGAGGACCCCAGGAGGGTGGGCAATGGGGAGTGGTCAAGACTCAAAGGATGACAGCTCAGGGCTCTGCTGCTCAACTAACCTTTCCTTGCAAACCGCACCAGGCGGCCCAGTTTTTCTCCCCTCTCCGGGCTGTTCTGCTGGGACACTGCTCAGGGCATGGAGGGGGGCCCCTGAAAGGGTTTAGGGCCTAAGCAGGCCAGGCAGGGAAAAGAGAACTCCACTCTCCTAAGCCCTCACCTTCCCACTTTTCACCAAGGAGGGAAAGCTCAGCTGTCTCCTAATAGCACCTTGGTTAAAAAATAGATGGGTGATAGATAGATAACTAAGGTGGCTGCAGGGCCCTAAGAGATCAGGAGAATGGGAAAAGAAGTGACTTATGAATTTGCATACTTCAGACACATACCAGAAACCTTGTTTGCTCCCCTCTGAATAATTAGAGACAGCCTTCCTGAAACCTAAGAACTCCCTACCAGCCTCAGATCCAGACAGAAATGAGCCCCTGCCCAATGAAGCCCCCCTTCTCCAGGCCTCCCCTTACCTGGCCTCCCATCAATGTTGTCGCGTCCCCTATGGCAAGGATCCCCTCCTGATGGCTGTGGCTAGGTGAGAAACAAACCTGACATGGGCAAGGTAATAAGAAAAGGCCATGCCCCCCCCACCACTCCAGGCCCATCCCACCCTCCTCGATAATTCCTGGGGTCGCTCACACCAGGAATAAAGATGGGAACAGTGGGCGGGGTAGCCACAAGCTCACACCTACTCACCCGGGATCCTTGGCTGGTTCAGGCTGCAGCTTTGCATTGCTGGGAGGTGTGGGTGCTTCGGCTGGGGACAGGGAATTCCCCTCAAGTCAGGTTATGCCTTTCTTCGTTGGGCCTCCCACAACTTGTCCCCCACCTGCTAGGAAGCGTCTCCCACATCTCCCCTGGCACCTTCTCACACCCTTCCTCCCCCTCCCAGGCACTCTTCAGCAAGGGTCTCCCTCTTTCCTCCCCCTCTCTGCGCCCAGTTCTCTGTAGTTCCTACACTGGGTCTCTTCCACTCCGCCCAGCTTGGGACCCATTCCCCTGGCTATCGCCGGCCTCTCTTTCCTTCTGCGCCCCTCTCCTCAGACCCTCTCCCTGGCTGTCCCTCTGGCCTTCCTTAAATCTTCTTCTTTTCTTTCCTCTCTCCAACCTCCAGGCCAGTTCCCCTAAACGTTCCCCCAGCCCCGGCCTCCCCTAGTCCACACCCCTCTCACCTAGAGGCAGCACCTGAAGGGGCTCCCCTGCCGGCTCACCCCAGGACGGCCAGGCGCAAGCGAGTAGCAGCCAGAGCACGGGCACGGGGGCGCACGGGGACGGGGTCCCCATAGGAGCGCGCGGGGGCGGGGAAGCCCGAGCGCAGGCCTGGGTCCCGAGAGCCTCTCCCAGGGAAGGCTGGGGCACACCTCCACTCGGTGGCCGCAGTTTTTCTTGCTTTCTTTGCGCCACGGTTCCCTTGGCCCCTCCTCCCAGGCGCTTGGCTCCGCCCCAAGCTAGAGTGACAGGCCTGCCCAGCTTATTACCATAATTTAGGTACCAGACCAAGGTGCAGCCTTCGCCCCTCTAGTACTGGCTGCCCTTCCCCAGGGAAGGCTGGATTCGGATCGCTCAGCCCTAAGTCTCCCAGGGGGCCGGGAGGCAGCCTGTGCAGTCTCCAACATCCCTTACTCTTCAGAGATCTCTGGCTCAGGAACTTAGGTCTTGGAAGCCCCTTACACAGGAGATAAGAGATGCTGGTATGAATCTGGTCCTCCCCTCTCCTTTCACAGAGGTCATGGAACATGCCACTCAGTGATCAGTGGTCAGTAGCAGAACCAGGGCTCAGGACTAGCCTGTGCTCCCACCACTCCCCACTACAGCCTCCTGAGTCCCCCAATCCCCACCCTACCCCCAGTTTTGAGCAGCTTAGGAAATGTTGACTTAATGACAGAAGTAGCTCACACTCCCATATTATTGGTCCCATCAAGGCCAGACTTTGACCAAAAAACAAAAACAAACAACTTTTAATTTTGTGAACAAGGTACATTTCCTGTCCAGAAGGAAATTGAAAATGGAAATGTGGGCCTGGGAGCCTTGGGAACCTGTGCATCATTCACTTGTCCAACTAAGTGTTGGAACATCAACTAGATGCCAGGCCTTGGAGATGATGATGGTGGTGGCCAGAGTAGACCCCTGAACAGGGGTATAGATTTGGGATGCATTCATTCATTCATCCATTCAACTAAGTTGTTGGACATCTGTTCCTCACCACACATTGTTCTGGGACTAGGGTGATAAATGAAGCACCCACAGCTATCTCCCACACAGGGAATTTGGAATCATGGGCATAGTGAGTCATGGGCACAGACACAGGAAGGTGAAGTGGAGCGAGCTAAGGATGGAGCCTGGTTAGGGAAAGGCAGGGTTGTGTTGAGGAAGCTTGAAAAGGAACATTCAAAAAAAAAAAAAGAAAGAAAAGGAACATTCATGAGAGAGGAGAACCAGGACTTGAGCTATCCTCAAAACCAAAAGGGAAGCATTTTAAGAAGGATTTTTGGGGGGATACTCATGTAAAAGAAGGGTTGGGGTGCCAGTGGACTACATTCCCTCTTGTAAGGGCAGTTGCCTCTCTGCTGGATTCTAAATATATCTATATGATATAGTAATGAAATGTAGAGAATTAGCAAAGTAAATTGGAAGGGGATATATTTTGGACCTTTGAAAATCCCACAAGTCTTTCCCTCTTATCTCTGACATTATTAGTTAATACTAAGGCAAGATCTTGGATAATATTTTCAGGTTCTTCCTCAGGAGGGATTTACATCTTAAACTAAGCAATAATTTAGGCCAAATAAAAATAGCCTGCTGGCAAAACTTCAGCTATTGGGAGTGGAATGCAAAGGAGAGGGTCTTTAGGTGCTCCTGAAGTTACAATTGTAAGTAGTTCACTGATTTGGGCTGCTGTCCATCTCCTGTTCCTTTCCCCAACGTGGTGCAAACAGATCAGGCCCCCACCCTCTAAGTCCAGGCACAAGCTCCATAATTAAAGGTTCTCACTCACAGCTTCCCTGGCCCCCTCTTTCCTCTCAGTCTGCCCCAGGCTTGGTTCATCATTGTCTCTGCACCCAGCAATAGTCCTGGAGTTGAGCAGACTTTGGTTGAATTGAATCAAATGAATCAGGTGGGGTGTCAGACCCGGGTGAAGGTCAGCCATAAGTCGGACTGTCATTGCTTCCCTGAATGAGTGTGTAGGTGTGTTTGAGGGAGTGGGCTAGGGGAGGTGGAAGGGGAAGCTGGTTGAGGAGGGCCACTCCCATCCACTGGTCCTGGCCTCTGTGGGCTACACTAAGACGCAGCTCCAAAAATTCACAGATCAAAGATTTTTTTCCTAGTGGGAAAAAACCATGAAGGAGGCTATTCTGGAAGCTAGGCAGACAGTGAGACGTGTGGCAAGGGGGGACAGCCTCATGAGGGCGAAGGGGCCTCCAGTTGTGTATCCAGAGAATACTGGCGAGATTGCCCCGCTCCCTACCCACCCATGTGCGGGTCTCAGACCTCTGCATTCTGGCCCCCACACGAAAAATGTCCCAAACCTCCTCCCCACGCCTGCAGAGATCCTCTCCCTCATCGGTGTGTGTTTGGGGATCATTCCAACAGACTGGAATGGCGACACCCGCCCACCTTCACCACCGCGTACACACACTGCAGCCCATTTACCCCGGGGCGCCCCAGGGAGAGGCGACTAGGCTCAGGTGTCTCCCCG